AGCAAAACCTATTTGATTTTGGAAAATGGTTTCATTTTATTTCAAAATACAATTTAATTAAAATTAAAATCAATCAATGACCTGCCGGTTGAACCACTGACCCGTTAACCCGATGATTTTTTCGGGTCAATCACTGGGTCGAGTTTAATAACTATGCCTTTTGAGTTTATGTGTAATATTATTTTATTGATAGAATGTATAGTTGAAATGAAAAAAGAGAAAAAAATGAGAAAGAAAATGGGAAGAAAATGAGTGTTGAACATGGGCAACATTTGAAGTTTGACCACAAATTTTAAAAAAGAAGAATTGATTTTTATAATCTAAATTACAAAAAATAATAGAAAGTTTCTTATAAGGCCTGTTTCGTGATCATTTTTTCTAGAAAAATATTATTTTGAATAATGAATTTTTGGAGAATGTATGATTAAAAAGAAAAGAAGAATTTTAAGTTTATATATAGAATGAATGTGTAGTTAAAGATGAGTACGTATAATTTTATTATTATTATTTTTGAATGAATGGGTGACAAACACGAACAAAAGTCAGAGATTATTTTCATTTTCATAGAGAAAATTCCCAATTTATTCAAGCGAACAAAGTTTCCACGTTTTTAATAAAAAAGGAGCGAATTCCCTCCCAGGGGCCAGGGCCTTGCGTATCGATTCACATCTAACCGAAATCAGAGAGAGAGAGAGAGAGAGATTTCGATAGATTGAAAATGCTGAGTAGCGGGGAGAAGGGTGTCTTCTCTTTCATGGCGGTCACTGTCCAGAAACTCAAACACAGATGGTCGTACCTTATCAATCTCTTCCTCCTTTATCGATCACATCAGAGGTACAACTATTAGGTTTTCATTCATCTTAATGTTCTATTTTCATCATTTTCATGAGATTTACGCTTTATCGTCTTGTAGTTGCGCAATTAAGATTGGATTGAGAATAAAACGTGTTAGGTGAGGTAATGGAAATTAATATTTGATATTTTTTCTAATTGTTGTTTGGACTGCTGATTTTCATATCATTTGATTTTACTCGAATCCATGCAGTCCCGTATTGTATATTTTCAGTTTATTGTGAGTTAAGTCACGAGATTACATACAAGGATTTAAGTTTTCAGTTACGAGGTTGATTGGGTTGGTGACCTTCTTAATATATAGGATAGTTTTGTTTTATATTAAAATTGGATTTTTTTTTTTTTTTTGGGAATCGAACAATTTTTCATTTTAGTCGGATCCAAGCAGTTCCAGTTCGTGTTTTTCATTTTAATGTTTGAGTTATGTATTACAAACATCAAATTAGGATATGCCTAATTTTTGCTTTCATTTGGAAGATAAAATTCTGTAGGTCTTAGTAAAGCTGTTGAAAGGAACTTTTCCTAGTTTTGTGGTGATAAGTTAGATGTAGAACTTTCCCATGTTGCTAACTTGTTATTTCTCACTACGTCATAGGTGTTATTGAAATTTGTGATTTTCAAAACACAATTGTCATGTCGATGATAACTGATGTACATGAGTACAACAAGCTGCCTACGTGACAAAAATGTATTATGGAAATAATGAAGATTCTAATGGTTTAGTTAATTGATTTTCGATTCATAGAACGTAGTTCAGAAGCAACCGCATCATATGTTTTTTTCTAGAATTCATTGCACGTACTTGTACGGTGTCAATGTTTTCACATTTTTTACTTTATGGAATTCTAGAAGTTATCTTAAAATATCAGCAAGTAACTGCTACCCAGATTTTGTTGTGGTTTTTTTCTCTTATGGGGCCATTCCTTTCACGCTACCTTCTTAGCTATTTGTTTAGAGGAACCTTAGTGAATCAGTCAGCAAACAGACTACCTATGGGTTCTTGTAGCCGGCTGTAGGAAAGTAGGGACAAGGTGTAGACTGTAGAGTTAGATGTATATTAAGGAACAAATAATATGTATTTTATTGCATGCAGAAACCTGTGTTAGAATAATACTGGAATTTCCTCTTTTATTCTGTCTTGTCCATCATTTGAAAAGGAAAGAGGTAATGATGGTACCAATTTGGAGATATGCATTGTGAATGGATGGGGAAATTACCCTTCTTTAAGGTGTTTGAGGCTGCTTGTAGATGAATATCTTTTAGGCCTCCATTAAGGTGATTGATACTGCTTGTAGATAATTTATAAGCAATGGCCTACTTTGTATAATGTTTTTCCCGTCGTAGTTGAGAAGATTTGTCAACAGGCTTGTGTTGGTGCATTTGAACGCGTATTATTTTCACAGTCAACTTGTCCATTTTGCCGCCCCCATTGTTTTCTTTCCTAACTTTGCCTCAGTAAATTTTATTGCGCTCTCACTCCCCAGGCATGTCTTTTAAGGTTTAATTTGTTTCTATATCTCTTCTCCTTAGCAGTTTCTTTTATCTGAATGTTATTTTCTACATTGCTGCCATTTTACTTTCCATATCTCACTGGCCAACATGCTATGAGGTTGGATATTGAAAATGATATGGGCTCAACAATAAGCCCCTGTTTGGTGGCCTTAAAATTTTAAAAAACATAGTTTTAAATAGTATTTTTTGAGAGAATGTGTGATTAAAAAGTAAGGAAAAGTTTTGAGTTTACGTGTGAAATATTTTATTATGTGAATGTGTGAAAATGAGTTTGAGAAATAAATTAAATTAAAGTCAAGGGCATCAAACAGGGGTTAATAATCTTGTAACAGGTAACTAAATTATCTTATGGGGTGAAAATTCTTTATATCTGCTAAATTACCACTGAAAATTGATGCCATTTATCTACCAATAGATAACAATTGCACTTTACATGCAATATGTATTTTGTCCTTAAGATTACAGCTTATGATAATTTATCAACCTTCGATATACTCTCTCAGGGTTTTCTACTGGTACCCTTGCACCAGGACATGAGATTGGCCAGATTTCAGACCTCCCAGCTACAGTGACTGCGATCAAGAATCCGAGTTCAAAGATTGTATATGACGAGCACAACCACGAACGTTATCCGCCGGGCGATCCCAGCAAACGTGCATTTGCTTACTTTGTTTTGACTGGAGGCAGGTTTGTCGATGCCTCATTGGCCCGTCTCCTGGTACTTAAATTTGTTTTGAGCATGTCTGCCAGTAAAGATGTCCTCGCTCTTGCTTCCCTTGAGGTAGACCTATCTAGCATTGAACCCGGGACAACTGTCACTGTTAAGTGGCGTGGAAAGGCAGTTTTCATTAGGCATCGCACTGAAGAGGACATCAAGTTGGCCAACAGCGTGGATGTTGCCTCCCTTCGTGACCCACAAGATGATTCTGCAAGGGTCAAGAATCCTGAATGGCTTGTGGTGGTTGGGGTGTGCACTCATCTGGGGTGCATCCCATTGCCAAATGCTGGTGACTTCGGTGGTTGGTTTTGCCCGTGCAATCTCTGGTAGGATTCGCAAAGGGCCAGCACCTTTCAATCTGGAAGTGCCAACTTACACCTTCTTGGACGAAGACAAGTTATTGGTTGGATGATAATTTAATTTATTAGGGACATAATACACCCGAGCCTGGGGATTCCAGATCGAAGAGGACTTTTTCTTATATAATAGTTTTTGCCCGTCCGATGTACGGGTTTGGTTATATTTTAGGCATCGTTAGCATTTGAAATGAGTTCAGTCATGTATTTATAGTTAATTAGTCATTAAAAATCAACGTAGAAAAAAATTTATATTAAAAAATTATTACATTAGTATAATGAGCATAATTTGTATAATCTGAAGTGTAAATGCACATTCTTAGATAGGGCTCAAAGAAGATGGACGTATTGATGTTTGACACATGAGATTGATAGGGTAGGGGTTAGTAAGAGGGTTCCTGGTATCTGGATCTAAAATATCATATTACTTGAGCAAAGCGTCAAGCTCTTGATTAGAGAGGTGAATTGAGACGACAAGCATGTCTTAGAATTATGCACTTAGATTAGGATCTTCCTCAACTTTGTCTTTGCAATAATTTTTTGATAGATGATTGTATGAACCGTATACAATAAAAGAAAGTAAAATCTCAATCAATTAAAGAAAAATTGAATTCGTTTAATATGTAATCAAATCAATTTACCATAATTTTTCTATGAAGACAGAAGTTGTTACCATGTTTTGATGCTGCAGCTCATTGTTGTTGTGATCATTTCAAAAATTATTCTTGAAGTGGAATTTGTTAAATGTATGTTCCAACAATTAAATTTGTCTGTGACATAGAATGATTAGTTGAAAAGATGAAGCCCGATTGACACTTCCATTCAGGCATCTTGATTGTACAAAGCCAAGTCATGACTATAATTACTTAACGTTCAACAGAATTTAAAATAATGAGATTTCCAATTGACAAATAATGGATAAAATACCTGAGAGTTAGGCTTTTTAATTTTTGCAGATTTGTATGTTGCAAATTGTGTAAATTGGAGAATATTCGCTGAAACAAGTTGTGAGCCGATTTGCCAATGAAAATCAACCAAATTCCATGTTATCTCCCTAAGATCCAATAAGCCCCAATGAATATCTGTTTCATGCTTAGATACATAAGGCCGCAAATAGGTTTCATATACATATCGCGCCCCCTATGTTATAAAAGGAAATATTCGAGAAGAATATGAGCAAAATTCTATCCAGTATTAATTTGAAGAAGTAAAATGGAAAAAGGTTTTACCTTTGTTTTCGGATACCACAAGTAAATGACCTACCTTTGAGCTATAAATGTATAAATACCTTTGTACGCCTTAAAGAGATCTTTATCGTATTTTACGCCAAATGAAGTAAAAGCAAAATGATTGTTATACCATCGTGAAAGATTTTTGAAGTCCATACATGTAACTTTGTTGGATGTAAACATATCATATAATTCAATAGGTGAATCAGGTATACAAATTTTTACTTTTCCATCGCGACAACAAAATCCTTTCCTTTCTTAGTAAAATTTTCGTGCAACACAATATTGGCAATCGGAAGATGAAGGTAATACATGTGGAGCAAGTGGTATGTTTGATAAAGCAAAACTTGTTTGTGATTTAGAATGCAGCTGAATATTTGATTCCCGATTTAGAATAGGAACTTCAACTTGAGAATCAGCTGCATATGGGAAGATGGAATTGATTTGATCCGACAACGTAGAATTAGTTATCCTTTTACGACGATCAGTTTGTCGAGTTTGAGTTTGTTTCCTCCTATTTGTCTATCGTCGCATTTGTTGGTGGTACATCGAATCAACATATGGTTACATTGGAATTGCGGCAGCATGTGGATTTTGAAAAGTATTGTTTATGTTGACACTATGTTGTTCATTACCAGACATGGTATAATCCATCTTCATCGAATCTTCAACTTAATTGTAATAGGGAAAGGAAACCATCAACAAAAATGTATGGGAACACTTTTTCAATATGAATACAATTTGTATTAATAAGAAACGAGGTGTGGGAAGAAAACTTGCCTGATTATATGGAGAAACTCGGTCGGAAATCACTAAAACTATGGACCAGATGGAACAATTAATATATTGATGATTCAGGACGTTAACGTGAGGTACTTGAGCGACTCAATTTTCTGTCAAAGTATGGAAATCATGTAATATTTCTTTATGGCCTTGTTTGAGGCAAATTATTATAGAATGAGAATGAAAAATATAGCCGTCCCACACAAGAGTTAGAAAATTTGAATTTAAAAGACCTGATGCCCCGTTTGAGTCAAATTATTGTAGAATGAGAATGAAAAATATAGCCGTTATTAAGGCCCACATAAGAGATAGAAAATTTGAATTTAAATATTGATGTGATGGATAATGGTCATATTTTTCATTTTAATGAGATAATAATGTAGATCAATCGGGGACTATGATTGTTATGGAAGTAGGGAGCTTAATAAGTTCATTAGTACATGTAAATTGAAGGAGCAGGAGTTCAGTGGTCAACAATTACGACCACGTAGACTTTTGTTTACAAATGCCTACTGCGTGCCGTTTCACCAATGAATAATAATTATAAACGTCTTCGTGCTGAGCCTCATTTTTTGATCGAGTTTTCGCTCGACTCGAGTCCAAAAAAGCTCAAACCTGTTTTGCTCGAGCCGAGCCGAGCCGAGCCCGAGCTTTGAGTTTCGGTTTGTGGCTCGGCTCGTTGACATGGCCATGTGTTCCCATTTAATTCGAGGTCAACAAATTGTCATCATCTATGAAAATCTCACTTTAACCACAAGCATATCTCATGAGCAAAAGAATACCGAAAAACTAATCTAACTCTCATTTGAAAAAAAAGTTTGTTCTTGAAGAAAAACAAGTGGAAGTTTTTGAAGAAAAATCAAATTGTTCCTTATTTTCATTTTTTTGATCCTTCAAAAAGGCAAAGTGTTTGAAGTTTTCTTTATAGAAAGGACAAGAACTCTGAAAAAAATCAACTCAAAGAGACCCAATTGAAGAAAAGATGCGTCTCAGCATAATGAATGCAAGTGAAGGAAGTGGTTCTCATCTGCAGAGAGCGGTGAGAGAGATCTTTGAGGATGAAGATGTTAAAAAAGTGTTTCAAGTACTTAGATACCGAATTTACACACTGGATATCGGATTTACACACTAAATACTAGATTTACAGCTTAGATACCGTATATGCAGAATGGATACCAGATTTGCAGTTTGAATACCGTATATGCATTAGGCTTAAACACCGTATTTACACATACCTTTTTCGTATTATAACAGATTAAATTATATATATAACAGTAAGAAATAACAAACAAAAAAATAATGAAGAAACAGTAAAAAACTTTTAACCCGAAGCTTGTGTTACACGCAGTTTCCTTAAAACATATTCGCTCCATTACCGTACGTGTTTGAGGTATAATTTAAGTTTCTACTTTCCAGGATACAATGGCAGAATAGTAGAATCTAAGCACTACAGATTTTACTACGGTAAACTGATTTAGTGTCCGAACAATATCACCACAAAGACTGAAATAGAAATTGAAAACGAAGACAAACTCGAACTATATGCAAATGAAATTCGTGTGTTGAAAATTGAAAAAAATCGAGATATATATAAAGACTTGGATCTTATAACTTGCCATTCATATCATGACAATTACCATAGGAGTTTCAATAGTTTCAGAAAATGAAAAGTCAGTTGAAAAATAAAAATGTAGCAAAACGTGGACACTCCTAAGGGGCAAATTTTGCTCCTTTCGGTCCGACATTCGTTTACGCAGGTTGCGCCCGCACATATGTTCAAGGTTTGTAACCTATTTCGGTCCATGATTTGTATCTTTGCACGCGTACGTGCATGGAGTCTCTATGCTACACATGATTACACCATTCTAAAGTGTAATCATTTATAAAGTAGTTTTTGTTTTTATCTACTTCCTATGTAGGACAAACTCCTTTTAAGTAGCACACTTTGAGCTTCAATTTCCCATTCACCAGAGCATCAATTTTGGCAAGTAAATATAAGATTTCGATGTACTCACAGAGGAGAACATAAATCAATTTTGATCTTCCAAATTAGCCAAACGGGTCCCACTCAAAACTTATACCAAAGGCAGCAAATATCTCATTTTTTCCAATAGAAGACCTAGAGAACCAGGCTAACCACCGTCGAGTTTAACATTCACGAGGAGAAAGGGTCACTGCTCGCTTATTCTGAGAGGTGGCAGCCATGGTTGTCAACTTGAGAAACATCTTGGTGCAAAACTTCACAATGCAACTCCTTCTCTAAGTAGGTAGCTAAATGACCCCCCAACCCTAACATATCCTACCAAGGCTTCTTCCAAGGTCAATGGAAGAACCAGTGGGAGAGGATGATGAAATGAAAAGAGGCCCCAAAATCAAAGGGAAGAGATAGATATTAGGCCCGCTTTAGGAGATGTGAAAGTTGTCGTCTCACAAAATTTCCCTCAAGGCTAACCTGCTGCAAACCCGTTCAACGGATAAGATAACTTTCCTCTTGTTTATAAACAAAAGCAGGGACCTAATTGGCTTGCTAGAGTTTTTGGACAGGTTAAGAGTTGGAGTGCTTAGAAATAGGCCATAGGATGAGGTGCCTACAAATAGGCAGAGAGAAAAGGTCTGTTGAAGCAATGCAATGGAGCAAGCTATGAGCTTCCATCCCTATCAACTGCCTTAATCATATGTAGCAGATAAAGACGGACCATATAGGTCCTATGAGTTTGATGATGAAAATTTCCCATTTCTATAGTAGATTAAGTCGTCTTACATCCTCCATAGCTAATGAAGATGGAGTGGAGATTTATATGACTGATACTGCAACTTAGTGTTGCAAAATGGAAAAATTGACCTTCTATTTGATATTAAGATAGTATCAAAGGCTCAACTAAACTTGATCTCAATTTTTTTTATTCTAAAAGCGGTTTATTACTTGAACTTATACGTGATAGTTCTGTTCATACTCATAGTG